CGGGGGCAAACTGTATCAGGTCCTAGCTCCCAGAAATGCTCAACCTTATATCTAGAGCCACCGAAACGTATGCCATTTGTTTGAATCTGCTGAGCCTCTGCCAGTGATCCTACTGTAATCACAATACTAGATCCTTTTTGAGCACTATTTCTCAGTCCCTTAGGGCTTTTTAGCCATGTAGGATCTCGCTTTAGGCGTACTGCACTGCCTGTTTCAATTTCCTGCCTTGCTAGGCCTAGGCCTAGTTGAAAAGGTAATAGTTATAGATACTGATATCGCCGGTCAGCCGCTCTTAGAGAGAGAGTCCGGGAGGGAGGAAGAAGAGTTCTATATTCCTATTCTAGAATAGTCCCGCTTAACTAGTAGTATTACCAATACATAGTATTATGCCTTCCTATATAGGCTTAACGTGAGGTCCAAATAACAATTCCCCTATATATCTACCAATTCTATATATATAGAATTGATATTAAATATATATATATATATATTTTAGATCTATATAAAAATCTAGAAAAAATCTAGAAAATCGATATAATAATGCCAAGAAAAACCCGCTCGGGTTCCCCGCCCGCGGAGCCGCGATGGGGCGGGTTCGGGTCGGGTCCAGCGCGGAACCCGTGCCACTCTAGTTCAGACTCTATCCTTCCTTCGAAGTGGAGCCGGAGCTGTCTTGATTCCCAGCGCTGAGGATAAGGCTCAGGGCTTGACGCACGAGGGCTTGACGCACTAGCGCCTTCAGGCTTCCCAGATTTCTAATCTCATAAAGGGTTAGCGCCGCAGTTGCGTATCAAGAACGGCGTTTTATTAGCCTGTTATATCCTCTCCTAGGCTGTGAGGTTTGGCACATTACATAAATCCAGCGATTTCCTGACACCAAGATGCAACAGTTGGGGGTGTTCGAGTTGTATTTACAATATTAAATATTTTCCAATACTAGACCTGTCCTGTGGCTGACAATCTGCCTAATCTCGAGAGCCACATCGGCCTGTATCTGTTCTTTGGCTCGGGCTAATATGGAGCATCGCTATTTCCCTTTCACCCCTATTCATGATAGCTGCTATTTCTCATCGAAACATGTTGAATCTACTATTACTCCCGGAAATTGTTGCTAGGAAGATATCAGCTGGAACGCAACACTAGATAACATAAAAAAGATAAGTTATACTTGTCAGTCACCTCATGACTTCGAAATCCCATACTCGGTGACGAGGTGAATTCTTTCAACACGAGAAGAACCAACTACTTGAACAGCGGACATATTCAGCGTGTCACTGTCCCACAAGCAGAAATATCCTCTCACTCTTGACCCCTCCTTTTCCCGATTGAGAATACTATTGTGAACTCCTAGAGGCCTTTCAGATCGTTTATCATTGCTTGCCAGAATAATGCTCGAGTATTATGTATAAGATCCCAATGTCTTACAGAAGGATAGCCCTTACGGTTGACGAATATCGAGAATTACGCAATCCGGGATCATTGAGTTTGTTGTTGGTAAAGACCGAAGGCGGTTCTCAATTCACGCGGGGTTAGCCGGTTCTTTCCCGAAGGTGATCCTCCAGCCTCCCATAAAGGGCGAAGTCGATGAGATTGTCTTTGGTCGTTGTTGTGAGTTCCTATACTCTGGTGATTACTCCGTCCTGTTGCCGATTCCCAATTCCTCTGGGAGCGACGGCGACCAACCCAGCAACAGCAAGACACTATCTCAGGTATCTATCAGACGATGGAGTCCTGTGAACCTTACTCAAAATCTTTTTTATCCAACTCATTGTCCCGGTGCCTATGCTCTTATCCTCGAACAACTCGATCAGTTATCCTTGTACGAAGATGGAGAAGCCTTGAATACTGATCCTGTATATACATATGCGGACGTCTTTCTGAGCCACGCTGAAGTATATTGTTTCCGCCACAGGACGGACTGGGTTTCGCTTTGTGCTCTGCCGCTCTATCGGCTTATATATTCGCTAGCCAACTTTACCCTCTTTCAACAACGAGCTGGGGATATTGTGAGACTGCTGAAGTTTGTATATAAGGGAAGTGAATATATGGAGAATATGCAAGAGATGTTGCAAGACTATCGGCGTGGAACGTGGAAATATTTATGCGGGACGCTGACTTTCAACAACTACTCGACAGAGTACCATCCTTGGAGAAAGCCATCTTGCGCTCAACGTGGAGGTAAAGGTTCGGACACCATCTTTGTTTTGTATATACGTATCAGGTATAACTACTTTCGTAATTACTCCGAAAATCCCGTTCTTGTGTTTTGCATACTCCCCGCATCTAACCCCGCAGTCAGATTATTCGACAAAGAGCATATCCCACCTTATTAGATATTCAGACCAACAGATCTCAATATACACACTGTCAGCTTCTAAGTCCAGAGTTCTATGTGCTTAAAGCTTCCTCTATATCATAGCTCATACTCCAACATTGTGAAGGCGCCTCCTAATAAAGCTGGACGGCGATGAAAGTCACATACTGTATTAACTGACAAAGACAGCAGTCAATTCATCGTCGCACAAAGCCAGAGCCACACATTTAAATGCCACGATCACCCCCCTCCATTCGGCAGACTAGCACGTACATTCTGGCCAGGACCAGGAGTCAACTCTAAATCATGGACATGTCTCGTTCCAAAAAATCAAGAATAAATAAAAATAAAGCTAAAAAGAAGAAACACAACATAACCCCGGATACAGCGGATTCTCTATGAAGAAGGCCTCGAATGGCTCCCATCCAATGTCAGCTGAGCTGCTTCTATGAACCTCTTGTCCTTCTCTATACACTAGGCCAGACAAGAGGAGAATACACTGGTAATATCCATGTCGGAGAAAGTGCTGTTTCCTTATTCAACAACACACGTCTTCGTCGCACGTTCCTGTCCCAGCTCGCTTGTGAGTAGACGATGTTACTCCGGAAATGGATTCTGACAAATCGACATTAGGATCCACATTAGGACAGCATCAAAGGAGACCGATAAGGTTGTGCTTTTAGACAGGCAGGCTTCCCTCTTTTTATATCTTCATCTTGCATATATTTAATTCTCTTTATTTTCTCCGCAAACCTCTTCGCCCATAACTACAGTCAAGTACCATTCAATTCCTACTCACAATCGCCACCTCATCCCTAGAAGGGCAGGAGACTGCATCGCATCATTCCAAAAATCCACCATCGAGGCATGGTGAAGGTAAGTAGCTCTCAAAGATATCCTGCAAAAGCTGGAGGCCATTTGACCGCGTTGACTAACTCATACAGACGAAGGTCTAGGTTCAGCACAGAGTGCGAGAGATGAATACGTCTACATTGCCGATGGCTACGGCATGATTCGGCGGATTATCTTCATCATAACGGTGTGTTCATCCATGTTCACGAATCAGTTGGGCCTATGCAACAGCCTCATGACGCTCGAAATAATCGGAGAGTCCTTTGGTGTCACCGACCCTGGCAAACTCTCGTGGACAATCGCTGGCTACGGCTTGACTCTAGGCACATTCATCTCGATCGGAAGGTGTTTGGGTGACGAGTTTGGCAACAAGGCAATCTTCATCATCGGTATGGGCTGGCTTGCTTTGACCAGCATGATGGCAGGGTCTCCGTCTACTCCAGCTACCCCGTCTACGTCCTTGCTCGTGTCCTGCAGGGCCTTGGTCCCGCCTTAACTGTGCCTAATACACTCGCCAACATGGGCAAATGCTGTAGATAGTCTAAGCTTAGCACGAACTTTGCGATAGCCCAAGCTTCATGACAAAAAAAGATTCAAGAGCTCTCAAGCCCACGGAAGATACAGGAGATGGGTCTTAATTTATATCTAGTAGAATGTGCTTACAACTGACTAATTGGCTATCTAATACTATTTTGTGCTCAAAACTGACGTTATAGACCTGAGAACTAATATCCAATTGAGTCCTGGCGCCAAGAAAATAAGCAAGATAAAATTTCATTCCGGCATTCTGGTGCTAAAAAAAGAGCGAACTAACTGACATAGAGAATATTGTATGAAATTGGAAATCAAAGCTATCACAAGTTGAATTGCGAAGCTTATACATCATGAGAAACAATTTCACGGACGATGTTGCATCGCCAACTTCCCCGTCTTATTATCAGTCTTATCTTGCAACCCTTTCAGTTGTTGCTCGACGTTCGTCTACCCTCATTCGTTCCAGTTCCGTCCTCAACCTGTCTATTTCATTATCAAAAGCGTCGTTATAGATTGTCTTAGACATTCCATTTCTGTTGCGCCTTGCGATGGCAGTGGAGCGGGCGATCTCCCGTTGTCCACGGGAGGCCCTAGAACGGGCTGTAACTCTGCTTGAATTGTTACTTTCACTATCGCTGTCTTCCATAAAGCGAATACTGCTCTTGCTAGATTTTTGAGACTTTGCACCTGAGAGAACACGCCGGGGGGATGGGGAGCGCGTTGGAACAGGAGGCTGTACGCGGATTTTAGAGTCGAAAAATGCGTTTAAGTCACCTTTAGACCAATGCCGACCGGCGTATTGCCTCAAGGTATTGAGAAGGTTAGTAGTACCGATGCGGCTGAATGGAAACAGTTCCATGCACCAGTAGACCAAGGAGACAAGAGTGTTACCGTAAGTTTGCCGGACTGATGAACGTATGGAAGGGAGGGTAAGGCGGGTCTTATCTGTGAAAGCCCGCCGCTTGGTCATGGCTTCGTACATTACACAGCCGATAGAGAAAATGTCAGTTTTCTGGCCGTATACCGGGCTGACACGACCCAAAGATTCCTGTATTTCATATATTGTGTCAATTGTGTCCCAACTAGCTAGAATAGTACGAGGATACATACTGGTGCCGTATACGGTTCTGTGCCACGGTAACAACTTCCAACATGGCCTCTACCGGACATCAGGGCAGCAGTCGAGAATTTGCCAAGTCCAAAATCAGCTAGAACGGCTACCATTACAGATTTCCCGTTGCTAACACTGTTAGATAGGAGGACTATAATCGTATCAGTAATCAGGTATGCAGTGTCGGCCTGTGCTAGGACAAAAATGATTCTCTGATCCTTACTGTTTTGGGGCTTAATATCTCGATGGAGAATTCCTTTGTGATGTATGTCATATAAAGCCATTGCCAAACAAGCAAATATCTGTAATATGGTGTTCTTTGGCATCGGACCGTTCATCGACCAGATATAGGAGCCCAAGTCACCATGAGGATAGAATTCCATATGTAGATGAATGTACCCGCGGAGCATATCAATCGAGACATCATTATCCCATCGCACAACATTGCGACACCCTTGAAGAGTCTGCAATACTGTGACTTCCTGTGCGGCCGCTTCTATGTCCTCCTTTGATTCAAATTTAATTGATTTACAGGCAAGAATCTATTACTTCTGAGTCAGTTTTCTTTGGTTTTTAAGGTGGTGACCTGGTAAGACATGGTGGGGGGGTTTGCTAGCAGACCTTTCCATCTCTCTCCCGTTTCACTTTTGTTACTGTTCCAAAGGTGCCTTGACCGAGTCGGCGCATGGTGGTGTAATTTGGGTCTTTCCCACTGAACTCCCGGACAGGCATTAAGGGCAGTATTCTGCAACTTGCCATGTTGACTTTAGTCTATTAGGATGCATGCTTAGAGACGACGAAAGAACAATAAGAACAGATGCATCTACTAAATATATTTATAAGATTCGCCCACAAGGCGGAAATGCTTCCTTTGCAACCATACTCTTTGAACATCTAACAACAGAAGATGAGACTTTGATGTTTCTGATTCGTCGATGTGGAAGGCGAGACGAACTATCGTGGATACCGTCGTGTACGAACCAGACTTCCCTTTCTCCGGGTATCAAATAAAACACATGGTTGACCTGCGGCGACTGGTAAAAGCACAGGAGGGCGTAACGCCCGCATAATCAATCTCTGGAACCAGTTTTAGAGGTAACCAATATATCAACTCTGATAACAAAGTTCTTCTTGTGGTGGCAGTGTCTGTGGTGGCAGTGTCTGTGGTGGATCAACACTCTAGAGTGAAGCTTTCTGCTAACGCGGATTTGTTTCTGGAGAAGAGCGATTTCTTATACCCTAGAATAAAACTCGCGTTCCTCATCCGCTGATTGGCTGTCCTAAGGGGCAGCTGCAGCGTTCTCAATCTCTCCGATCGGGCAAGCTCGGAAGGATATCTGGGGCCAATACGATCTGTCTTAGAGGAATGTTTCTTCTCCGGAAGCAAACACTGGAAGGATGGGATATGTGACGCTGACTTTTACAGTTCTGCAGAGGACAAACCTAGCAGTTTGTGTGGCGAAAAGAAAAAAGAACTAGCGTCCACATACTGAAACCAAGGCTGATGGAACAAAGCAAAAGAGCTGGGTGTGGAGGTAAATGGAGACCCCGAAGCAGTCGCTACGGCCAGAGCATCCGTCCACTCTGACCGCCATGATCAACCTGGAGTCTGTATACACTTATTACGGATGATGGAAGAGAGGCAGAAGACCTAGATGTGCAAAAATGAGGGGCTCAGAAACACAGTCCAGGGTCGGAGAATCCCTCCCCACTTATTAGTATGGGTCACCTGGCGTTCGCGACCAAGAACCAGGGACAATGGAAGAAAGCAGAATTTGGGATTAAAAGTATTTCGACACTCTGACCTGCATGAATAATCTTACCCATAACCGGAGATCAGCAGGTGAAGAGAAAAGTGCCTTACTTTTTAATGACTGCTTTTCTGCAACCAACTCTTAGACCCTGATCATGCGTCTACTATCTCCTCAACTACTAATCTTGCCCAGTTGCAAGGAAAGGGTAACTCTTCATCTAGCATATCTCAAGATGCACCCCGTCGACGTGTGATAACAGAAAATTCCGCGCTGATACTAAGAGGTAGGCAGTCTAACAATGACCTTACAGCTGGTTTCCCCAAATCGTGTCAAGATCTATCAGGCGCTGCAAACGAGAGGTCTTATGAAGTCTTTGCCACAGAAGGTAACTTTCAACTCTCAGTTCATGGTAGGAGAAAACCATATCTGCGTGCTGATCCAAAGGTTTATGAAAATATTTCGTATTAATTAATTAATTAAGTGTTTTTTATTTTGGGATTTTATAGTTTATAAGGGTGCGAGAGACCGTAATAGTAAAGTGCTGACTCTCCGCTATCCCACAGGGAAGGGATGATAACCGCTCCAAAGCTCTACTGACCATCACATCTGGGCCGACTCACTCTAATGGCCCATATTTTAACATATTTGGCACTCCAAAATGGATATTGGTTCTTTCCCGATCTTTCCTGAGTCTGACCCTAGAGGACAGGTCTTCTAACCTAATCCGGCGATCAGAACTCCCCCGGCATACCCATGGGATAGAGTCTGGACTGGCCGAACCTGACAGGTGTGGACGTGGTGCAGCAAATCAGGTGGGAAAGACTTGCAGATGACCTCTACCACAACTCCATTTCAAGTGCCAAGAATTTAAGTGGCTCATACTCTTCTAAGTTTTGTTTATTTCCTTTCATCGGCTTCTTCGGAAGGCTGCAGTTTCCGAACAATATTCTTTAATAAATTGTCCACTATCTTTCCTCGCACAATTCATCATAAGATCCATCTGTTCTTACTCGCCTGCTGAGTTTGAGTGATTTATAGTGCCATTCAGATAGGCAACGTCAGCAGGAAAGGGAGATTAGGTGGCAGTGCAGGATGAAACCAACTTTTATTGTTAGTTATGGTAAATCTGTAAGTAGTTGGATAGTAGGCCTATTGCAAGGTGTTCGTTTTTGTAAACGTGAAGTAGTGATTAATGACAGGACTATATTTCTACGGAGTCAGAAACCATCAAGTATTTAATCTGAAACATTTCTAATATCTAAGCAGTTAAGAGACTTATATACATCAGGCTGAACAGGTTTTGCCTCTATAATGTGCTTGTTTCCATCTTTCTCTAGGAAAGGCGGCAGAAAGTGCACATAATACAATGTCTAAGCCTGGCTCAGTATCAGAGTTCTTAGGATTTTGTCCTCACCACAACGATATCTATCGGTGTGCATGCAGTCTGATTTATGGATTTTCTGATCCTTCTTCCGTCAGTGATGCACTGGTAAAGAGTACTTGTTCACGCAGCAATGCCCTCTTCAACAGGGCCCCATATGGCATCAGAAGGATGCAAGGAAACTGGCGTCCCCATGACATTAAAAAAAAAAAAAATTCAGCCATGTACTGCCCGGCATCTGAGGTATTGAGTCCTTTGTCAAAGAGGTTTCCTAGCAAGACTGAAAGATTTATCTCAAACTCAACTTGAAGATGTCAGTTGACCACTCGGGCAATACAGGAGTTCAAATGGCTTCTTACGAGAATTTTACAAAGGATATCATAGACCCCGTGCCTTCCTCTCCCGTACAAATCAACAAAGCACTTAAGACGATGTTTCAAACTGACAGCTCCACCGTGGAACGATATCAGTTTCTCGCATGCACGCACATGGGCGGAAGGAAAGGGGCGTCAACAGAAAGGGTTCTCTACCTTCTACTGGAAAGGATTCACACCACATGGCGCCTGTCCCATCAAATGATGGAGATACAATAGCGATGAATCCTTATCGGATGGATGATATTGGGGATGAAGCTCTCTAGCAGTCTAGGACTAGGCGCAAGATAGGTACCTAGGTGGTGGCCAACGCGTTAACTAACGTGTTCAACGGGCGAGCGGCGCACCTCCCCAAAAACTTCAAAATATCTTAAAGCTTTTCAATGCCCAACGCCATTAAATTAGACTAATTATTAGCTTAATATCTAGGTATTTATTAGGATAACCCCTTATTATATGTCCAATAGTCTCACAGCCACTGCAGCGTGGTGGAGCTCGCTGGTGAGGCTCCATTGCAGTATTTTCAACATGCTCATCAACCCGTTCATTAAGCTGTTGAAGACACTCCTGACCTTCCTGTACAGAAATAAATAGATTAGAACCTATAGAAAGACGCTTCCCTTCTTTCTTTTTCTCTTCCCCCTCATTTTCAGCCCGTAAAACCTTGATTTCTTCTTGTAGAAGACTATTCATACTCATTACCATTACCGCTACCTTTTAAAGATGTTGAATATGTATCATAGGACTGCTAGAAAGTGCTCTTTTCTTTTGAAGACTTTTCTGAAGAGGTTGAACCTTTCAATTAAGCTGTCAAGGATTCTGATGGGTTTGAAATGCAGAGGATATTGATCCTTCTAGTAGAGGTGGTGGTGTAGGCATATAAAGTTGAAAGGTGATTTTCTCAAGCACCCGGTCTTTATTAAGTGGTTTAAGACGTGATCCTGCAAAGCCATTGCATATATTCCTTTCAGTGAAGACTGCTACGCGTGCTGTAGGTGCAGAAAATCCTCTTTATCAATATGATTATTTCCAGCCACCATCATGCCTTCAGTCAATTTCCCATATGTGTGTTTAAGCGGCCCAAAAACACTAACATCTAGTGGTTAAAGAGGATGAGGTGCATGTACAGGCATATAAAGACAGATAATTGCATTCTCTTTATAGAAATTATTGAATTCAGCCGTTAAATGGCTTAAGTGGCCATCAAGAATAAGTAGCCACTTTACACCAGTTAAATGCAGTTAGGAGAAAGGTTTAAACAGATATTTAAGCCAATTCAGGCCTATTTTATCTGATGTCCAGCCATTAGGACTATTTGCAAGCTTCCAACTCAGTGGAAGATAATCTTCTTGAAACCAGGCACCCTGATGTTCTTTCCCTTTTAAGATGACCGCCAGTGGTATATGGATCCCTTTTGAATTAATATATTTAATAGTAGGGACCCATTCACAATTGCCCTGGATGACTCTGCAAGGTCTCTTACCTTACTCTACTACAGTAATTACTTTAGCAGCTGAACAGAGTCCTATTACAAAGCCAGTTTCATTAAAATTCCAGATCATCCTCATGTATGCTATGATCTTGAATAGTTGCATGTACAGTTGCAAACGATTTATTTAAGATCTTTGGGTCCTCCTGCTTTGTGCGACTATAGCTAATCTTTCGATTATATCTTGCACGGATCTCAGGCTAGCGTTTAATGAAGGAGGAAGCCCAATTGACTCCAATGGTTGCTGTAGAATCCTGTAGGCGCATACAAAGTAATATCTGAGCCATCCCATGCAAGAATTGCGGTCAAACTGAAAAGCCTCGCTTAATAAGGACTTCTTCTTCAAGGACTGTGAATTTATGGCTCTTAGCGCGTGTTTCTGACTGTAGCTTAATTCCTTTGAGCCGTCTTCGAAGGGTATTTGCAGATACACCAAAAATAGAGGCAGCTTGTTGATTTGATTGGCTTTTTTTTTAGCCAAGATAGCTGCCTTAGCCATTTGCATTCTATTGTCTCTTGAAAGAGGCATTTTTATATGTAAATGATAGAGAAAAGACGCGTTGAATTATATAGATGCGAAGATGTTTTGAAGTTTTTGGGGAGGTGCGCCGCTCGCCCGTTGAATACGTTAGTTTGTTAGCGCGTTGACCATTGACTACAATATCTGACCAATGAGGTGGCCATGAGGTGGCCAGCCACCCACCAGCACCAAACGTGGCTAGGTACGATACATAGTCTCTCGCGGTTAACCTCATCTTTACTTTGCACCACTTCCACCACTTAAAAATCTATCCACATCCACTCCTTCCGCCATGCCAACAATTCCAAGGGAATTATTAGCCTCGACATGTTTGATGTCTTGACGGAATGTGCGACCTTCAGTCTTGACGTTGATCGCCCCCACAAGGAGTCGGCTTTGCTTCATGTTCACATCCTGTATGTTCTGTCCAGTACGCTCAGATTGTACCCAAGCCATCATTTTATTGGAAGCCTCTTTTATATCGTTAAGGAAGCCTTTATATTGCTGGACCTCGGCGATACGCCTCGCTTTACTCAGTTCTGCTTCTTTATCCAGAAGTGCATCGGAGTCATCCTCTCCTGAGAGCTGCACCAACTGGCTGTTGACATTCGCGATTTGTCGATCCACAGTTTGCTTTTCTTGTTTGAGCTGTTTTTCCTGGACGTCCAACATGGTCAGGGTCTTCCCCACTTCTTCCATCCCCTGCATATAACGGTAACTGCTGATACTGATGCAACTCGTCAGCACTGTGATGCCATATGATTAACCAGAGGGAACGCACAATGTAACTATTTCCAAGGCTATGCTGAGAGTCGATTTACAGGTCTCCAGCTTTGCTGTGAATGCATTGGTCTTTGCTTCTCCGAAGTAGCCAGTTCTTACCCTGTCCCACCAGAATACTCTCGCCTCTGTCGAATGCCTCATCCAGTGTGTTATGGTGTCCTTAAACTCCTTGCATGCTTCTCCACAATTCTCAACGATTAGCATGAGCTGAGTATTGTTGATCAACACTTTAGGTACATCGGAAACTCCCTGGTCGTTGAATATACTTTCAATCGTCCTCAAAACAGCTTCAATTGCCTCAAGCTCTTTCCTGACCGCCTGGATAGCCGATGGTGCGTCTGATAATTTGCGAATAAAATCTGTCAACTCGCGGATACTGTGTAAAGCGACAGCAGTGACACCTATGACACTCGCCGCTACACTCAAGCCGTCCATCCCAATTTTCAATACTCCGTCGTTAGTGACAGGCGTATAGTGTTTGATTAGCAACAACAGCACTGCAACAGCAGTTTTCGTTAACGCAGCATATTCAATGGAACGCAGGTCTATTTCCCTATAATCTCGCTGGCACAGCCCCTTTGTCCTTTGGATCACGGTGGTACTGACGTAATACATTTTCCTCTTACACTCTGCGTTAGGGATTGACCCACAGTTTGTACCCATGAACCCGTTTCGCATATGACTTACCCCCGGACATTTCTGAGGCAAAATTGTCAAGCCCTGTGCTTGGTCATGCGGTCTGGTGTAGGACAGGTAAACAATATTTGATAAGAAATACTTTCTGCCTCGGAGGTGATTCAAAAGTTTCAATATCCATCTTCGAGTATTCTTACAATAACGAAGACCTCTTTCTAGGTTCGCGACATGACAGTATTTTGCGTTATTTGAACATGTGCCCAAATGAACTCAAGGTGGAGTCCGGGTCAACTCTTGGGCCCAAGTTCGGGGGCTCGCTTCCTACCCTACCGCATCCGGAGCGGCCTGAACAATCCGGAAGCTCCTACAATGACCATCATAGAGCTCCTGAGTTCCATAACACCTATCATATTCACAACACTACTATCAGTGATTTAACAACTACAGAAATTTTGAGAGCGTTTGTGGGTGTAAACTTGACCACTACTTCCAGTCCTAAGCAAGGTAAAAACTCATAAGAACCTTATAATTCGTCTTACATAGACAAACACCTAACGAGGTCATGAAGGAGAAATTCGGAAATAGCTCAGTGCGGCAGACCTGAAAAGCATAAGACGAAGGAAGAGACCTGCCCCTGGCACTTGCCAATGTATTAACTCCAAGGCAGATTTTATGGATTGGAAGATACGCAAGAGTCCAGGATTTCTGTGGGTCCATAGGATTCCAGGTAGAATAGCCTGATCGATATTGCTCTTCCCATTCGAATACAGAATCTTGACCACTTCTAGGGTGTGGAAAATCTGTTTTGGCCTCGTCTCTCATCGACACACTTCAGCCCGACGTCTTCTATTTCTTCTGCAACAGAATACATCCCGACAAAAGGTCTCCCAGTTCAATTTTAGGATCTCTCGTCAGCCAGATACTTGGGTCTGCAACCTTGAAGGCCAATCCGTCCGTGCTTGACAACGTTGTCAATAACATTTGGGAAGTATGCGAGATGTACCCAGATATGAATAAAACATCAGTCGACACACTCTGGATAATATTCGAAGCACTCTCGACCATTTACAAACAAGAATAATAATTATTGATGCGCTAAATAAGTGCAACTTAGATAGGACAGATCGAAACTTTCCATAAAAAGGCTTATTCGAGTCCAAACCCGGTTCCCGTTAATTAGGGTGCTAGCTACCTCCAGAGACATGGAGAAACTATCATCAAACTCGGAATCACCGCTCGCTAAAATTAGCATCAAGAAAGAAGATGTCCAAGATGATATCTTAACAGTTGTCAGAAATTGGGTACTCAGATCGTCCAAATTGCTTATGATCCAGGACCGAATCATTTCTACCGGATCTGATAGAAGTGATGGTATGATTTTATGGGCGGTGATGATGCTCGAAAACCTTGAGACAGCAACAAACGTCCGCTCAGTATCAGCAAAACTCGAACGAATTCCTTCCGGGCTTGGATCAATGTATTCACATATACTTTGGGAGATTGCAGCCCACTTGACATGTGAAGAGCAGCTGTTGCAGTCGAAGATTCTGTCCTGGATTGTGACAGCGTACCGTTCCTTATATATATATAAGTTAAGCACGGCTCTTTCAATTAAACCTGGAAACCCGCATGTTTCCAGTGACGACATGCTGCTTGATTCTCTAGCTACGGTAAAAGGGTTGTGCAGTCCCTTAGTATATATTACGGAACACAAATCCATTCAGCTGGTTCACTTGTCTGTAAGGGAAGCACTCACTGAAACAACGGACATAGAATTGGGATATAGGTGGAATTGCAATGTTGACAAGCGATTCCATATTGACAAAGCTTCTTTCCATGGTGAAGCTGGGGAAGTTTACTTAACTTATTTGAAGTCTCCACTTCTTGGTGACCTGCAGACTCATATCGATATTGTAACACAAGACAAATTTGCGGGCTTTCTTGCTGAGTCTCTACCATTCCTGGATTACGCATCCTCAAACTGGCCGTCTCACATTAGCGAGGCGCGGCCAATAAACCAGACAATGCTTTCTGATGTGCAGGGTTTCCTCCAGTGGAATCATTGCTTTGTGTGGCTTGAGTGTTATAGCCACTTTGCCGCTCGTGCCCCTGGGGAATATGGGCATCATTTTCAGGTACAATCAACCCTCAGACAGTGGAATAACTCATTTGAGGATCTACCATCGGATATGGAGAAAGCTGTGAACGAATGCATTCTGCAAGCAACTGAGGACGGTGTCTCTCTGGTGAAGAACAGATTCGGATATCACAACTTGCGGACCTTATCAATGATGCGTCGTCTGAGTACTTTATATTACTTTAGCGATCGATTCTTAAAGGCTAGGGAAATACGATCTGCAGTCTTGGATGGTTACAAGATAAAATTGGGCTTGTCTGACAGTACCACCAGAAGAGACTTTACTGACCTCGGGTATGTCATGTACATGTTAGATAATTACGTCGGCGTGGAGGAAAACTTTTACAAAGCTCTCGGGGGTCGCGACCCGTCATCCTGGAAGATGGGGCCCCTTGAAGCAGAGACCATGAGAGAGTTGGCTACCGTATATTGGCTGAAGAATGAATTACTGGAGGCCAGAAACATGATGGAGACGTCACTATCCGGCCTTATTGCGCATTTCACGGAACGTCATCGCCTTACTGTTCTCTGTCGACAGTATCTCTCTCACATATACGAAGTGACGGGCGATTTAGAGAAAGCTCTCAAGGTTGCATTGGGTAATCGTGCAATTTCAATCGCTATTCAGGGTGACGACCATCTTAACACTTTACGTGGCGACCTGTTCATTGCGCGTCTAAAAATGAGCGCAGGCCAATTAGAGGATGCTGAAGACTTATTGACAAGCGTCTTCTATCGTCAAATACGAGTGCTAGGAGGGAGAAATTCAGAGATGTTAATAACCAGAGCGACGTTAGGAATAGTTCTAGCAAGGAAGGGAGACAATAAGGCCGCTGAAGCAGCTTTTCGTGAGGCCTTGGTAGGCACTGAGGAGATATTTGGCGCTGAGCATTCGTCGACCAAGACAATCGCTGCTTGGCTCGCTGATTTTCTAAGCACAAACGGCCAGCAGCGGCGATTTATATCTTCACACACATATGGGGACTCGTCGCCACGAGATCGTTTCCCCTCGCTTGCTAAGATATACGGTTTTGTTCACCTCCGCCTAACCATCTCTTCCCTTTTGATGCTTCGGTATGCTTTGGTAACAGTATTTAATTTTTGCATCTCAAATATCAGCGGCATCTTTCAGGCAGGCAAAATACCCAGAAACGGGTATTTTGAAAAATACTCCAAGCTTAACTTGTTGTGGTCAGGATTTGCCATCTTGTTGGACAAATCCATTCAATCCAGTTGGACATGTGTGTGTCGTCCACCTCAACAAGCCTATTTAGAGCGAATGGTGCTCCTCACCTGTATTGCTGTTATGATTATTGCTGTTATTATTGCCGGTCAATTCCTTCCGTGGATATAGGCCTTCATGGGCGTTGTCTGGGCAGTATGGCGGTCATGCTCTTTCTTCTGGTGGATTTATATAGGAGTTAGAAGAATTACCGGGTAGAACCTACTAGATAGATTAGAGTAGGCAAGCAACATACACTTGCTTGTCAACTGGGCGTGGGGTGAAGGTTGGCGGGTTGGGAGCGATGGAAGCTATAGCCCTTCTGACATCAACGGCTATATTGAGATTGGTTCGGAAGAGTACTGGGCTCATCTTTTGTTAGTGGGGTTGACGAATGGGTGGACGTTTTATAAGATGAGAGAGTTTGAGAATTGCACTGGAAATTGCAAGATCTATCTTTGGGATCATAGAGTCGTGGTCTCAAGCTAACCGGCTTTTCTTCCCTTTCGCTTCCATTTTTTCTTTTTGTTTTCTTTTTGTTGTGTTGTACAGTAGGATGATCAGTCGCTAGCAGCTGTATATGGGGTCGTGCAGTAGCAGCAGTACGAGTCGATCAGTTCAGGCTATTCAACATCAAGCTCATGTCTATGGATTCAACATCTTAGGCGCTAACCGTCAAAGCTATCTAAGTCAATACCAACTTAGTTCATTCTTTGCAGTAACCGTTGGAATACTCTTTACTGAGCAGGATGATGGGCTTACTGATGTCGATTACCACCAACAGCTATTGCCGTCCATTGGAGTTGTTCATTGTTTGGATTAAGGTTGGAGGCCTTCAGCTGCTGGCCAGGACCAGGACTTATATTATTAATCAGCAGCAGACGTAACTACCTTGTGTGAAGAATACTGTACCACCAGGCGGAGCAGCCATATAAAATTGCGGCTCTACCAGGTTCTCAATTGCTCTAACCCGTGCTTTCCATTTCTGATTATTACCACCACTGCCGGAAAATGTTCTAGTCATAATATTAGCTCAATAATAGTCCGTTATACCACTACTTACGTATATGGAAAGTACATGATACTGTAAGATAAGGCGATTTTTAACGCTGGTTATAGCGACTTGCTCAGACAATAAATACCCAGGGGAACATCAAAATCAACACCCAATCTAAACACGTCATTTTAACGCGTCAATCGATCGAGAAAGGCCCCCTGAGGCCTCAGGAACCGCT